GTCCACTTCTTAATAACAACGTAAATAAACGTATGACGTTTGATAAAATAATCGTACATTTTTAAGATAACATTTGATAGCATGAGTATATATATCATGTATTTTTGCTAAAAATGTATGACGATCGACTTCCCAACACTTGTTGAGTGTGGATCAATTGTTGTTTTCATTGTTCGAGCTCAACGAGCCATGAAAATGATGTTCGAGCTCAATCCGTGAAGCAAATAGAAATGCTTGATATCGACTCGATGCTCGAGATTGATTCAATGCTCAAGATGGACTCGAGTTTGGCTCGAATTTTAACAACTATAAATTATTAAACTATGACAATTTTGTGAATTACATATATCTAAAGGGTATTTAAGTATTTTATAGCATATTTCGACAACCTTTAAAATTTGAGTTTTAGATCGATTCAATAACATACTCTAGCTGCTCGGTCAAGCTCGAGCTTGAGTCAAGCTTTGACTAGAGCGCTCGCGAGCAGCTCGACTCGGTTGCAGTCTTAAGCATCAATGAAGATATGGGCATTATACATGTATCATTAATAAAAGAACCAACTATAGTTTTGTTTTTGGCGGTCCTTACAATTGTACAGTCTTCAACTTTGTGACCGGCCGACACGACGTCGTTCAAGTGCCCCAAGCGGCCAAGCCTCAGACACCGCCTGCACCAGCAATGCCGCCATAGGCAGCCCAATCATGAACGGCCCCACTAACGTCACCCTCGACTCCGCCGGCGACCGCTACTACATCTGCTCCTTCGGCAGCCACTGCCAGCAGGGGCAGCGCCTCTCCATTACCGTCATCTCCTCCTCCGCCAATCCTCCGGCAACCGCCACCCGGCCGACCACCCCGTCCCCCACTAACACTCATTCAAAAGCCTGTGCCCCAACTCAGCCCAACGCCGGCGGACCTGCAGCTGCGCTGGACCATCCGCGCAGAATAATTCAGGCTCCATTGCTTTGGCCGCCGGTTTCTCGCTTAGTTTATTGACCACCGGCTTAGCGTTGATTTTCTGAGAATAAAATCTTGGTTTAATTAAGGCGGTTATTTTTCTTATGTTCTTGCATTAAATAAGCTTTTGTTTTGAGTTTTTCATACGCTGCTGCCTGAATTTTTTTTTTGCACTTGATTTGTATTGTACTTTACTTGTTCCTTTTTCTTGGATCAATACAAGTTATTTTAAGGGAAAATTTTCTTTTAACATAAACAATATTAAGATTGGGACTAGTAAATGTTGATTTTTATTGCAAAACCAAAAGAAAAAAAGAAAAAAAAAATTGCACTGTTAGCTTGTATGCCAACTCATGGGACCTATAGAAAATCCTCATCAACCCTCATGGAAAATGAACCAAAAACAAGAAAGTACATTATTACTTTCTTTTACATAATTAATCTCCACACTTGAGCTATTCCACAACCGTTTTGTACTCGATCGATCGAGCACAAAACGATTGGGCTTCATCTCAACAGGGCCCTAAATGTCGGTTGGCAATAGGTCCCGTTCATGAAAGCATCAGCCACGGCCCTATACATGGCCTCGGTCAAGTGAACCCCATCCCAGTTGACAAACTTGGAAGGATTCGCACACGACCCGGATGAAGGCGAGCCGCACGCATGGAAATAGTCAAAGTTGTAGGCCCCACCACCGTACCCGCAGCACGCCTTGTAAATCTCCCTCAATCCGTACTTACTAGGATTCTTCACGATGTTTGCATACGCATTGTAATAATCGGCATAGGCTATAACTGATTTCGGGAACTGTTTTCTCAGTATGTCGAGTCTCGATTTTAAGGCCGTGTTGTGGGCCTGGCTTTGCAGGTTTGCAGACCCCACGCAGCCAGTGGAATCCCGGTCCTCGGGCGGTGCTAGGTACATTGAGAGGGTGAGGCATCCAGTCGGGGGCAATCCCTGGACCACCACATGTTTGGCGCCTTTCTTTAGAATTGCCTAAGTTCAGGGGAAAACAGAGCATTTTGTGTGGTTTTAATCACATATAGAAGTCCATGAAATAAGTTCAATTCTAATATCCATACTTATTTATGTTACCTGCAGAAAGGCATTGACACTGGTGATGGCCAGCCGCTGCACGGTCTCGGAGGTCACGGTGGACCCGAAGCTGTAAGCATAGTCGTTGGCCCCGATTTCGCCGACCCAAATCAGCGTGTCCCCAAACAAACCCTCGCATGCCGCCGGCGTACTGTACGAGTCCCTGCATCCCTTTCCTTCTAGAAACTTCTCGAACCACGCCAGCTGTGTGCCGAGCGATTGGGGCGTGATGTTGAGAGTCAAGTTGTTCTTCACGAAGAAGGAGTGGGCTATGGCCGTGGACCCCGCAACAGCAAAGTTGAGGCCCGACGGGCTGGCACGCGTGGCCCTGTCGAGGTAGGGGGGGAGGAAGGGAAGGGAGAGGGCGCGGGCCACGAAGTCGATGACGAGGCGGCCGTCCGAGTAGCGGTTGGTGGGGCGGCGGAAGTAGGTGGATCCGTAAGGGGGGTTGGAGACGAACATGAATCCGCTCGGGCCCGTGTTGGACCGCGTGTTGCCCGTGTCGGTGTACGAGTCGCCAAACGCGTAGATCTTCTTGAAATGGGTTTTATCGGCATTGGCTGGTTTTGGTGTGGAGAAAGAGAGGAGGATTAGTAGTGGTGCAATGCAAATGCAGGCCAAGGTGTGGGATTTGAAGGATGTAGCCATTTTCTTTTTCTTTTGTTTTTAACAGAAGTATGATCGTAAAATGTGTTCACTAGTTGTTATATTTGTGTGGAGTGGACATGGAGACTCGGGTGGATTTTATTTGGTAGGGAGTGAGGAAAAGGAGTAAATGTGGGCAACTTCAATATGATGAGAAGTAGTTGAGAAAAATTAAATGGCTAGGAGCTAACTGTTCGGTGGGCTTAATTTGGGTGTACGTAGTTATGGGGAGCTCGTGAAATTTATGAAGCAATTGTTGTTTTATTATTTTATATTTTTGTGTGTTGGGACTTTGGAGTTAGGGACTTGGGCATGTGAAGAATGGGGCATTTGTCAGTATAGGAAAGCATTAACATATACAATTCAAGTAATGATATGATATGTTAGTTCCCATTGACATAAGTCTACAATTGAGTTCCATTATCCGTGAGTGAGGAGTCGAATTTGCGGCTGTCACTGCGCTTCTGTATGATGTTTGTTGGTTGTTTGTACTCCAGTTTTGATCTATAAATGTACATTTAACGATCCAAAAAAAAAGTTACAGTTGAGTTCGACTTTTGGGTCAAGTAGGGGTAAGTACTCGGGGACTCGCATTCGACGATAAAATAAGAAAGGTTTCAAGTCGATTAACTCTAAAAATTTTAGTTTATTTAGCATCTCTGTAACTTAGTAGAATCACACTTAAAAGACAGTGTACATATTCATGTTAGGAAATTCACATAGACAGCTCAGGGTACAGATAGGTCCTTGAGCGGATAGCTTTTAGAGGTCGGAGGACCCAAAGAGCTCAGATACTTAATGAGACGTATTGACCTGTAGGTCGTGGAGGTGGAGATCGTAGTTGCTACGTACCTAGGTACAACTTACGACATGTAGGTAAAGAGGCCATGGTCACGTAAGAGCCATAGGGTAAGAGGGGAAAGAGTCCTTCATGGATGGAAAATATATGTTGCCAAGGAGTCTCAAATCCTAAAAACGTGGTGAGATAGGAAAGTAGATACGAAATGATTTCTTTCTTAACTAGGATTCCTTAGAGGCCAAACCAGTGGCGGAGCCACCCTAGGACTAGGGTGGGCTCCAGCCCCAGGTAACTTTTAAAATTAAAAAAAAAAAAAAAAAAAGTACTTTACATTTTAAATTATTTTTGTAGATAGCCCATGTATTTTTATGTTAGCCCATTTTTTAAATTTGCCCAATAACATAAGCCCAAAAAATTTAAGTTAGCCCAACAATAAAAGCCCAAAATATTAAAATCAATTACATTTCTTCTATTATAATTCCCAATTAATCCATTAATTAGTCTTCTTCACCATTAATTAAAAGTTAAAAAGATCAAAAAAAAAAAAAAAAGAAAGAAATCTCTCAGTTTCGGCCTCTCTGTTTTCTACAAACCAGGTAAGAGTGCATGTAGTTCCTTCAATTTTCTTGAACATTCATTAGTTTTGATGTGTTTGATGAATTTATCTAACTCTAAGGTGGAGTGGTTTAGGGTACTATTTAGTCTTGGATAAGCCAAAGATCAAAACTTGGTTATGGTTGATTTTGTGACAACCTATATCAATTCTATTTAGTCATTAACTTGAGTGGTTTGGGGTATTTAGTGATTGCATTTATCTATCTTTTTGGTTGATTTGCATCAAGTCTCGTATGCCCTTGGACTAGGGTTGGCTCTAGCCTCTTGTAATTATATTTATTCATTTATTTATTGTTTAGTTTAGTATTTCTTATTTTATTTGTAGCTCAATATAAACATTAGTCTAGCCAAATTTAGCTCATAAGCTTTTAGGAAGAAACTCAATAATTTATTATTTTTCATTCTCAAAAGTAGAAGATGATGGAACCTTTTTTATTAGAAAAGAAAGACACAAGTTATTGCTTATTCTATTTTATTTTACAAATTTGTAAGAAGATTGTATTAATGTTTGTTTTAATAGTGCTATAAAGATATTTTTTATGTTTTGTAATAATCAAGAGTTAATAGGAATTGATTTGTGATGAAAAATTTAGAAATATACTTAGTTTAAATTTATGCACACACCTTGTTTGATGAAAGCACAGCTAAACATTTGAGATAATATAATTTAAATTTGTATAGGCTAAGATATAAATATTTGGACATGATGGAAGTCTCTATATACTTTTCTTTATAATTTAACATGTTGTTTTTCTTCTTATTGTTTTCTTTCTTATTTTGGTTAAATCATATTGAATAATTTTATTTGAAATAATATTGTTTATTCATGTAATTTATATTACATTACATATGGAATATATAAATTAATTTATATTATAATTTCATATATTTTGTTTCTTCTAGAATTCCAATAGAATATTTATTTTGTGATTGATCTTATGGATTTTAAAATATACTTTCATTCATTTAACTTTGTAATTCATGTTAGTTGTATTGAATATTAAAAAAAATTATTTTTATACATTTCTTTCTTTATGCTTAGCATCTAGCTAAAGATGTTATTCGAGTCGAGCCAAGTCGGATATTTCATGTTCGAACTTGTGATTGTTTAATAAATAAACTTGATTAGGTTTTCGAGCTTAGCCTTTTGAAGTGTATGAAATAGCTGAGTTCGAGCTCTCACGAGCCGAAATGAGTTGTGTTCGTGAATTGTTCCAATAATACCTAAATGTTAAGCAGCCCCGGGTAAAAAAAAAATTCTGGGTACGCCCTTGGGCCAAACTACTAAGTATATAAAGCGTAATTAGGTACTTATTTCACAAAACGCATACGTGCACAATGAACATACATACTATTAATTTTCTTACAGGCAAAGTACTGACTTGAGCATCGAAAATTTTTCGATAGGAGTATCTTGCCAGTCGTCGGAGCTTCGAATTGGTGGTTGTTCGTGAGATCGTGTTTTCAACTAGGCCGAAGTCAATTTGCGTGCTGATTTTAGCATCTAAGCAGTTGAAAATCTCTTGGTCATTTTATTAATTATTGTTTATGTTTGAAATGAGGATAAATTCAAATTGTTCTGGAGTGAAACACATTGATGAGCTGTCTGAAATATGTTCAACTTTGAAAGCATGAATATCATGCAAAAGTACATTTGTTTTTGGTTTCAAGTGTTTACATATATGTTATTATTGTCACTGGATTCAATCTAAGAAAATTTGCCCTCAACAACGTAACAATTTGACGAACTTTTATATTAAATTATGTTTACTGGTATCTGATTTTAGGACTCTTATTAAATTATTATAAATCTATGATACGAAAGAGAAGGTAGAAATTGTGGAAAATATCATCTCAATATTCTCTTAACCATGAATATATATACACAAAATTAGGGTTACAGTTACCTAAAGAGAACCTAAGGCTAATATAGTAATTACACAAATATACACAATAACACCCCCCTCAAGTTGGAGCATGCGGATTCTGAATGCCCAACTTGCCAAGAAAGAAATCAAATTCGCGCTTCCCAAGCGCCTTGGTGAAGATGTCAGCGAGCTGTTCCCCAGAAGGAACATGAGTAGTAGAAATGAGGCCCTGAAGAACAGCATCTCGAACAAAGTGGCAATCTACCTCAATGTGCTTAGTCCGCTCGTGAAAAACTGGATTCGCGGCAATATGCAGTGCAGACTGACTGTCACAGTGTAACCGCATAGGCTGAGAGTGAGCGACACCAAGAGTAGATAATAGTCCCCGCAACCACTTCAACTCGCACAATGTAGTAGCCATCGCCCGATATTCAGCCTCAGCAGAAGAGCGTGATACAGTAGGTTGTTTCTTGGTTCGCCAAGAAACAAGAGACTGACCCAGCTGAATAAACCAACAGGAAAGAGAGCGCCGAGTGAGAGGACAAGACGCCCAATCTGAATCACACCATGCATAGAGTTGAAGATCGCAGTGAGTACGAAGATGAATCCCCTGACGAGGAGAGCTTTTCAAATATCGAACCACACGCAGAGCAGAGTCCCAGTGAGTCTGACGCGGTTGATGCATAAATTGAGAGAGCATATTCACCGAATAAGACAGCTCAGGTCGAGTCACTGCCAGATAGATAAGACGTCCGACTAAACGACGATATCACTCGGGATCAGACAATAGATCACCCTCAGCAAGAGGTAGCTGATGATTCTGCTCCAATGGAAAATCAGCTGGCTTGCTCTCTAGTAATCCGATCTCAGCTATGATGTCAAGAGTATACTTCCGTTGACAGAGAAAGAATCCAGAAGAATTTCGGGCAACCTCGATACCCAGAAAATACTTAAGCAATCCAAGATCCTTCATGTGAAAACAACGACTCAAGTAACTCTTGAAGGCCGCAATGGATGTGGTGTCATTCCCGGAAACAATCAGATCATCAACATAGATCAGAACCTGCAGATGGACAGAACCACGATGCAGTGTAAAGAGAGAGTAATCATGATAAGACTGACAAAAACCATACTGCTTCAAAGCCGCAGTCAACTTGGCAAACCAGCAGCGGGGGGCATGTTTCAAGCCATAGAGGGAACGACGAAGACGGCAAACTTTCCCATCAACGCCAGAACGAAAACCAGGAGGAAACTTCATGTAAACTTCCTCAGTCAAATCACCATGAAGAAAAGCATTGTGAACATCCATCTGATGAACTTCCCAATGCTTAGCAGCAGCCACAGCCAAGAATAACCGGACTGTAACCATTTTGGCAACGGGAGCAAACGTCTCGTGATAGTCAAGACCTTTCACCTGATTATTGCCCAAAATCACCAGACGCGCTTTATAGCGCTCAACGGAACCGTCAGACTTATGCTTGATCTTAAAGACCCACTTGCACCCAATCGCACGCTTCCCAGATGGAAGAGAAACTACATCCCACGTGCCATTATTCTCCAAGGCACGAATCTCATCCTGCATAGCGGCTCCCCATCGAGGATCAGTCACAGCATCAACAAAAGTGCGAGGCTCAACAGTAGAGGCGATAGCAGCCAAAAAAGTTCGATGAGCTGGAGAGAATGAATCACAAGAAACATAATGTGCTATGGGATAAGGTGTA